GCTCACCATCTCTAGAGCAAAGTGAGAAAGAGACGTGAACTTATTCTCGTACTCTGTCACCGACATATTTCCTTAGATAAGGCTAATAAACTGATCCTTTAACTCCCATCTCTTGGTAACTAGAAAATACTTCTCGTAGAACAATTCCTTGAACTTCTCCTAACTCATATCTTCCACCTTATACCGATTGGTGACTGACTTCCACCAAAGCTTGGCATCCTTAGTAAACTCGTAAATGGCTAGGATGATTTTCATATAATCGTCCGTCACATCCATGGAGGTCAATTGAGTTTCAACTTGATCCATATAGTCATCCGCTACCATAGGATCTGCGTCACCCTCAAACATCATTGGCATCAACTTAGAAAACCCAGAAATCAACTTGAGACGTTTCTGCGCTGGCGTCTCCTCAACTTGAACTACCGGTTGAGGTACCGGCTGCGGAAGAGTAGCAATTGTTGCTCTCAAGGCATTCTGCAATAAACGGTTCAATGCTAGTTCTGTCAGACCTTTACCCTCTTCAATGGGTGCTCTAACATCATCCCTCCAAGTGGGGACACCTCTAGGGGGAACCAAATCCCTAAGAAGTGTATTCTCTTCATTTTGCTTCGCCGGATTAGAGCTAGAGCTTTCACCAATGTCTCGTCTTGTCAGCCTAGGGCCAATACCCCTCGGTTCCCTTCATGGTGGCATCGTGATAAAAAAAAAAAAAAAAAAAAAAAAAAAAAAAACAAGAAAGCGCTTCAATGGCATGACACTAAGGTCCACCGTGGACTACTCAACATGAAATGATGCCGTACTAACACTTAGCATGCAACACTATGCGAGAAACACCTTAACATAAACATGTAAGCACATAAGCTATTAAACAGGTAACATGCTCCTTCATTAATAAAACACATAGAAACTAATCACATAAACAATGCAAGCAACTTCCCATGCAATCCTATGTAGGCCTCTACTCGTCGTCTTAATGGTTTTCGAACCATCGCTCTGATACTAATTTTTGTAACGACCCGAACCCGTGGGTCCAGACCATTACCTGGGTTCTCACCCAAACCCGAGGTACACGGATTCACACCATACATTTCTTATGTCCTTAACTATCATTCAAGTCAAACCAGGGTCCATAATTGTCTTAAGATTCAACCTTACAAGGAGGTCCAAACACATAAATCAAAGAGGAACAGTCAGCCGGCTGATAGCCTTTGGTCGGCCGGCTGACAAGGCAAGATCGGCCAGCTGACCTACAAGGTCGGTTGGTTGAAACGGTTGTAAAAGATGAATGCTCTCGGGACTTTCACTATAGGCTTGTCGGTTAGCTGAAGGAGGGGGTTCGGTCGGCCAAACCTGGGGTTTCGGTCGGCTGATGGTGAGGGACAGCTGGCCGAAACATGCTTTCCTGGGTTTTAACTCACAGAAATTGCATTCCGACTGTACTTCCAACATACCAAACCTATATTGGACCTGTTCTGCAACCCATTCCCGAATTCACGGCAACAAAGCATGATAATACACAATTAGATAGAATTAACAATAGCTCAAAAGATAACTTCTTTTCCCATTCATCATTAAGTATTTACATGGTCTCAATTTACATCAAATATAATCAAGTATCTTAGTTATGTTGCATAGCCATGATTTACAAAATAAATACTCTCTTCTATAATTTGAGGCTTTACAAAAAAAAATGGGAAATATACAAAAGACGACAAAATGTAACTTCAAATCTTCTTCAAACTTGTGGTGGATTATCATTCGCCACTTCCTTTCCGGGCCCTGAAAAATGTTAAATAATAAGGTGAGCATAAAGCTCAGTAGGTGGTGCCTAAGACACCTCTTGTAGCCCCGTGAATCCAAATAATGAATAGAATAATAGGGGGCGGGGTCATACCAAGCCAAGAAAATACAATTTCAATTCCAAGTTCAAAACAAGTAAATGTCGTGCCATGAATGCAATATCATGCATGTCACTCCCCATTTTCAGAAAATATCTATCGCTTCACAAACTGTTAATATAACCCGTCCTTTGGTGATTCCGCAAGGACACGAGAGAAGGGTTGGCTACTGTCCCTGACCCTTAGTACCCCCGCGGCGTCATTTGGGGCCCAGATAGCTCAACCACGCTAGGGCAATCTCCTTAGTTTCCTCTAGGCTATATTAACACACCGACCCTTTGGTGAGTCTACGGTGACCGAGTTTTCTCAAAACTATTTTTATTAAAATTTCTTCCCAAAACCCCCTTTTATTTTCATATCAAAACACTTTCCTTTTTTCTTTCATGCCCAATGCCATGGATGCATGCTACATATTTTCCCAACAATATGAAAATGAAGGAAATTTAAAGTTCATAATTTAACATGCTTCTTTATAGAAATTTCTAGGAGAAATATCATAAACACCATGGTATGAAAAATTAACAAATTAAGCATGCTCTTTCATACATTTCAAGTAAATACACATAAGCATGTTTTTCACACAATTCAATTTAACACATATAATCATAAACTTCATATATAACATTTACATTATCCTCAAGGCTAACAACTCAAAATTAAGCATGCTTTACAACAATTAATGAGGGATAACTCACAAAGGAACAAGAAAAAAGCATGAATTAGAAACCCCTACATCAAGATTATGCAAAACCCCCAAATTTGCCCTAGATCTCAAAAATCAAGAAGTGCACCAAACTAGAAATTGTTCTGATCAACTTGTAGATCTCGCCGTCAGCTTCAATTTGCCGTAAACGGCTTCCAAAAATTCCAAATATTAAGGAGTAATCAAGAATTGAATCTTGAAACCAAGAAAAAGAAAAAAGAAAAGTCTAGAATGGGGGAGAAAGATGCTTACTGGAGTGAGAGAAGAAATAGAGAAAATGAGACAAAAATGTGGTCTCATGACCATTAAAAAATTATAGTGGGTCCCACCACTTTTCTTTTTATTTTTCCTTTTTTTCTTTTGTTTTTAATTTACACCACACATATACATATATACACATATTAAATCACAACCATATACCACACATCAAATAAAATAAACATGATGTAAATGGGCTCAAACAAAAACCCCGTACGCAACAATTCCGGTAGCGGGTCCCACACGGGACCGTCCGGCCCAAAAAATGAAAAAAAAATGCAGAAATGACCAACCTTGCATTTCAAAGAGTCCTAAACTCAATTAAATGCCCCAAACAACTCTCGAACACAGCTGGCACGCTCCACAGTATCCGATACGTAAAACGGCAAAAGACGAAAATGCCTTTACAGCGACAAAAATTCTAGGAAAATGAAAAATGCGAAAATTAGAAACATCACATTGTGTGCTATATTATTTGGTTTGTGTACATATATGTATAATGGTAGCAAAATAATTAAAAAGAAAAAGAAAATGTGGGATTTTAATTTTTGTGGTAGGACCCACTTCTCACTAATTCTTTTGTGGTCTAGAGACCACATTTTTGGCCTCTCATTCTCTCTCCCCGGCTGAATCTTTTTCTCCCTCATTTTCCTTTCATTTTTCTTTTCTTTTTCATTTTAAGCTTCAAATCTTGATTAATCTCTCATTCCTTGGAGTTTTTGGATGCCGTTTGCGGCAAAACAGAGAGCACGGTGAGATCTACTCATTGATATAAGCAATTTATCATTTGGTGCATCCTAGGAATTTTGAATTTAGGACCCATTTTGGGGGGTTTTTGCATCTTAAGAGGTAGGGGTTCCTAATCCACGAAATTTCTTGTTCTTTTGTGAATTTCCTTTATTAATTGTTGCCTAGTATGCTTAATTTGTGTTGATTACCTCTAAAATGATTTATTTGTTGGGTATGAAGTTCGTGAAAATATGTGTTAGTTGATTTATATGAAAAACATGCCTAAATGTTAATTTTCTATACCTATTGTGTTGTTGATTTGCTAGAATTGTTATATGAAAGCATGTTGTAATTTTCTTTGAATTTCTTGTAAAGCATGTTATGTAGCTTAAGTTGAATTAGTTGTAAAATGATGATTATTGACATGGCATGATACATTTTTGCATAAACATTGGAAAGAAAAAGAAAAAGAAAAAATTGTTTTGAAATGAAAAGGGGAAATTCTTGGGACAAAGTTTTGATAAAAAGGATTTTAAGAAAAACCAGGACACCGAGGAGGTACCAAAGGTCCGTGGAGTTAATATGACCTAGAGGGAATTAGGGAAATCTCCTTAGCATGGTTGAACTATCTGGGCCCCAAATGACGCCCCGGAGATACCAAGGGTCAGGGACAGTAGTCAATCCTTCTCTCGTGTTGCCGCGGAGTCACCAACGGACGGGTTATATTAACAGTTTTAAAAATGATGGATGATTTTGAAAATAGGGAGCGACATAGCATGGCATAGCATTCCATAGCATCACATTGTCCATTTTGGCCTTGCAATTTATTGTATTTTCTCCTGGCATAGCATGATCTCGTTCCCTATTATTCTATTCATTGTTTGGATTTACGGGGTTACAAGAGGTGTGTCTTAAGCACCACCTACTGAGCTTTATGCTCACCCTATTATTTTACATTTTTCAGGACATGGGAAAGAAATGGTGGATGACTTTCCACCACAGACTTAGTATGGATTAGAAGATTATTTTGTTATTTTTGTATCTAAGTCTTATTATTTTTGTAAAACTTTGCATATTATATTTTATACTGGGACTTATGGACTCTTATTATTGTAATTATATTCATGGGCTGTGACTTTAATATAAGTTGTCTAAACGTTGTAAGACATGGACTTTTGATCTTAGCCATGTTTTTGGGACTGCAATTATGATATTTGGATTAAATGGTATATGATTGTTGCACCAGAACTATGTTGAGGCATAATGAATGGATGAAAAAAATATTGAAATGTATTATTTGCTTTGTGCATTGAGACACGTTAAATAATTTTTGAAAGTTCAAGAGAGACCATTGTATTTTTATACATTTAAACATGTTGTCATATAACCTTTTTTAGTAGAGGTCATAGCCATTTTTTTTTTTTTTTTTTTTTTTTTTAATTGGTATCATTTTAGTGTCGTCATAGGTGAAGCCCAAACCGCCAAACGTTATAGGTGAAGCCCTAACTGCCAAACCGATACCCGTTAGGGTTTTAACCATCTAACTGCCACGTGTTCAAATTTAATCAAACCTTTTGACAGGCTGATCCAAATTGATTTGAATTTTTGAAGATTTTGGACTGGTCCAAAGTCCAATAAACCAACACAAGCCGAAGCCCGACAAGCCCATGCCCAAAGAAAATTTATTTTTTTTCTTTAAGAAGTCCAAGCCCAGGCCCAATAAGCAAAATATAAAGATCACGAATAGAGAGATACAGCAAGGAAAGATTAGAGGAATATATAAATTGGGTATATATTGCAATCGTGTTGTTCTCGGGAGCTCATCCAACACAAGCTCTCAAGCATTGCCTCCTCGGCTTTGACAGAGCATTTAACACTGGTATGCCTAGTCGTACATGGTTTTCCAAAAAGCACAACATCACGTACCAATTATTCAGTCATACATTTAAAATGGCCAGTGTGCCAACACATACATTTAATTAAGAGCAACCCAAAGCTAGACCTTCATCGCTTTGAAAATCCCGACTCATTCTATGCAACGCCCTTCACTTTTCTTCTTGTACCCATTCCATATATTTTTTCCGTAAATGTACACATTCCCAATCTCATCTACATGTAATTCCCGTTCTCATGAAACGAGCAGTCAGGTTTCGATCAAAAACTTCAATGGCTTCACACTTCAAATTGAATATAGAATGAGAGAGGGACCTTGGTAAGGTAGCTGAGAATGGTAGCTACAGAGTGGAATGAGTGAAGCTTTCCCTACAAAGACGTACAATATATGTTGAACGTTAAAAACAAAACATGAAAATAAAGGATTGTTAAATTGAAAGGGTTTATGTCAAAAGCGACAAACAAACCTCTCCTTCAGCTTTGAGCTGAATGCAAGTGCTAAGTTCAGCGAGAAGATAATTGGAGCAGCCAACAAGCAGTCCTCCCACATGTTATGCATTGTATTCTTGCCCCCATGAATATGTCTGATATGTAGTACTCATCCATGCCCTTAATGTGTGAGAGCTTCAGATAACATATAGACTACAAATTAACTATTTTTAGATAATCTTTCATTCTTTTCTAGAAAACGAAAAAAAATAAAAAAAACCCTGCACATAACCACACAGTTCTAACTACAAGAAGAAGCAGCACTTAACACTGTAATTTCATCAAGTCATTGCAGAGCGTTAATAATCCATTTTGCCACTGATCTGAAAATTTGATACTCTTTTTTTCTTTTTTTCCAGTAAACATGAATCGACACTTTACAAATTAATAATTAAAGTATTTCCTGTCAAAACTAAAATCAGAAAAACCTTTTCCTATGAGCCACAACCAGATACCTCCTATAAGAAAGAGACCAGTATATTATCCAAGTCATTACGATGTATATTACTATTTGGCAAAAGATTATTATAAAGGTATATAATTCAATAATTGATCCCAAACAAAAACTTTACAAGTAAGATATGTATTGTAATGAAAGTTATATAGAAATACCAAGGTGAAATGTTATACATTAATTGAGACACATTGTCAAACATTTACGAAGCATCCAAGTACACGAATCACAGGATGATATGGTGGAAACAGGAAATGGAAAAAGGAAAAATAGATTGATGAAGTCCAACTTTCGAACCCTACATAATTGTGCTAGTGGGTTAGAACCACCCATTACACAAGCACTGTCTAGAACCAAAATGCCAAATTGGTTTAAACACATTAACTAGTGATTATTACAAAGAACAATTTTCAGGCCTTGATGTGAAATTGTAATGCATGACAAGATCAAATCCAATATTGAAACAACAAATATGACCAAAAAGAGTTTGGTACGTACCAACAAAACATTACCATCAAAGCCTATTCCTATTGCAACAAACGACAAGAAAACACAAAATTGACAATCAAAAGTATCGAAACATAGAACCTCTTTTAAGATTTCTCCATGCTCTACAAACATGGATCCTTGATAAGATGATGTCATTGACCTATAAAATTGAAATAATCAAATACATTGTTAAATATAGAGAGTTTATTAACGGCCATATAGATGAATAAGATGCAAGCAGCAAAAGGATAGCAAAACTGACATTACAAAAAGCAATTTTCATCAATTTTTGTGTTATGGGGGTAGATAAAATAGAAAGACGACTAACGCATTAACTAGTGAAAAGTGGAATCTACTTTAAATTTATATATTTTTTACATTATAGACTTGTGAAAGTCATGATAGTTCAAGATGTTGGTGTGATTTTAACGACTACATGATTAATTTAAATGATGAGTTTTGAAAATTGAAGTTCAAAGAGAAAGATGAAACTATTATTGAATATTTGCACTTCCTTACTTGTATTTAATTCTAGTATAGCATATACACACATACACATATATATTGGTGGGTCTACTCACCTTCAGCTTGGTCCTCCATTACTAGATGGACACCCAATTTCTTGACTTTTGGTCCTAAGCATTTAAGTGAAACCTCAATGTGACAGGAATTATCACAAATATTGAGAGGCCCTGGGCTAAGCTTTGGTCTCTTCTTCATCAAATTTTTAATTGGTTGATGGTCTTTAGACAACCCATCGTAATATTCCGTTATGTTCCTCAAAATGACGTGATCTGACAAAAGGTCATGCTTCCCTTCTTTTGAGTAATTTCGATACCGTCTGCTCACGCCATAGCCGTTGATTTTGAGATCAAATTGAATCCATGAGTGAAATCCATGAAATTCCAAAGCAGCACAGATGAAAATTCCTTTGACGTTATTGTAAGAAGATAGATGATGTTGATCTACCACCAAAGACGCAGATGAACATCCCTCAACTTCACTCTTATGGCTAAACCATTGCGGAATCTCACTCTCAGGAAAAATGACACAATATAATCCCTGTTCCATGCACGCACACAATAAATATCCTCAAGTTTTCATCAGTTTTGAATATATATATATATATATATATATATGAATATATATATATATATATATATATATATCGAGATCGAGAGAGAGAGAGTAATTAACCTGAAGCTGACTTTGTGATGATATATTTGGCATGTTATCCATCTGATCCATAACCAATTTGTGGCACTCAGTGAATATGAATTCGCGATTGTTTGAACCGCTTCCACTTGGTGGAATCCAATACCGTTCCAATGATTTGCAGCCATGTGCATCAACATAACAAATAGATGACGGAAGTGAAGTCAGCGTTCGGAGGCTTGTGCAATGTACCAAATCAAGGCGTTTCAGTTTTTTGAGTTGAATGAGGCTTGCTGGTATGCTAGAGAATTTGTTATCACTTAGATCTAATTCTTTCAAACAGGATAGGCTGCCAATATCCCTGGGAAAGGACTCTTCTGATAAATTGGAGCTCCTAAGAACTAATCGTAATAAAGTGCTCAAACTGGGGAGCAGTTCCAGTTGCAAATAAGTTGAAGGAAGAGTTCTCTTTCGCACCAATGAAAATGGAATCAATGATTTTGTCGTCTTGGGGGATGATTTTTGAGAATTATTTAGGTAAAGGTTACTAAGCTTAGACAACTGTGCAATGGACGATGGTAACTGTTCTATGGCGGTTCCTCCCATGTAAAGGGTTCTTAAACCCTTCATTTTTAAAAAAATGTCACTTGGAACACATTTAAGCTTCCGGCAATTTTCTAAAGATAAAATCTGAAGCCTTTCAAGATGCCCAATTGATGAAGGAAAATCTTTTATTGCGGTATTGTCTAAATAAAGATACAACAAACAATCCATGCATCCCTGAACATTTGGAAACTTCTCAAGTTTTGAGCATCCTGATAGAGAAAAACTTCTCAGATTTTTTAACTTGATACTTCCTGGGAGACTCCTTAGATTTTTACATTTACTGAGATCCAATTTAACAAGCCTCTCGTGAACTCCAATCGACTGGTGGACCTCAGTTAGTTTTGTACATCCTTTCAGAATTAAATTCTCTAGACATGGGATATTTGACAAATCCGGAGTTTTATCCAAATATAGGGAGTGACTGAGATCAATGAATTTTAACTTCTCTAGAAACTGTTTAGGAAACAAGCAATGAAAGCAATCAATTAGTCTCAATAAACTCTAAAATACTATTCATATGTAAATAATTGTGTAAATAAACGATGCTCATACCTTGATACCTGATGAAATTTCTTTGATATTGTTATGACAAAGGCTAAGGTGAACAAGATTTTTCGGATGGAAGTTGGATGGCAAAATCCTTGTTGAGTAATCATCCCAATCAAGATAACATAGTTCATTTGAAAGATATGTAAGGTGTCCACAAGGTGTTATCCCACTGAGTTTAAGCAGTTTAAGTTTCTTCATCTTCTCAAAGACATCAACATTTACATATAATTCCTCTGGTAGATGACAACGAGGCATGTTTAGCATAATGCCTTTAATTGTTTCTGTCACCTTATTACCAAAAACATTGTGTAAGTTACCACAAAGTGTTAAAACCTTAGAATTATAAAAGTTAAACTGATAATATGGAAAACAGATGAATCTAACCTATATATCTTTTTTTGCAAAACTTGAATGTGAATATATATATATATATATATATATATATATATGGAGTTAGGACGTACAGTATTCTCTCTGAGCACTTTAAAGATATCTTCATGAAACCACAACCTACTACATTTTCCAGGATCATCAGGTGATTCTTGACGAACAATTTCTTTACCCATTTCTTGTATCAAATCATGCATGCATAGCTTGTTGTTGTATGAGATTGTTATCAAAGACCGTTCAATAAGAACTGGAATTCGTGGGTGAAACCCATTACTGCCCAATATATCCATTACATAATCTTTATCATACCCTTTGAAGAAACAAGCGATATCGAGGAATAAATCTTTCTCTGTATCATTAAGGCCATCAAAACTTATCTTGAGAACATCATAAATTTCTCTATTTGGAATTTTTTTCCAGTTATCTACTTCATGTTCCCACTCATTTAAACTTCTTTTAAATAAAAATGAACCCAAAACTTGAAGAGCTAATGGAAGGCCTTGGGCATACTTTATTACATGCCGTGAGAGTTCCACATAATCCTCCAAAGGATGGTTGTTAGTGAAAGCATACCAACTAAAAAGTTCAAGAGCTTCATCGTCATTCAACAACTCAACCCTGAACATTTCATGATCTACTTTATGTTCCACCAACAAACGTTCATTTCTGGTTGTTACAATGATCCTACTTCCAGAGCCAAACCAGTCATTTCCACCCACTAAACTCTCTAATTGCTTCAAACTATCCACGTCATCAAGAACTACAAGAACTTTCTTATAACGGAGTCTTTTCTTCATCATGTTGATTCCAAAATCAACGTTACGTATCTTTAGATTTTCTTCCGTAAGAATGTCATTCAAAAGTAGTTGTTGGAGATAAGTTAGGCCATGTTGTTCTGAAACTTCTTTCACATTGCTAAGAAAACAACAACTTTCAAATTGATTATATATTCGATTGAAGACAACTTTGGATATGGTTGTCTTTCCAATTCCACCAGCTCCACAAATCCCCACAATGCACACATCATTTAACCCATTGTCTAGCAAAGTGAACACTTTGTTTACACGGGAATCTATCCCTACTTGGTACCTGGCCACATTTAATGGTATAGGCCCCAATTGTTTTATAATCTCTTGAACAATTTTTTGGATAAACTTCACCTCATGCCTATCAAACACAAACCACATTAGAAAGATCTAGCGGGTTTAATTAATGTACTATGAGAGAAGAAAAAAAATATTTGAATTTACTATAATTAATACTTCTTTCAATTTTTGTCAAAGAAAAACGAAAAAATAGTTATGTCAATTATAACAAATATCATATATGGAAAAATAATAATAAACAAGTAAATTCATAAACTAATTGTTAGAAACAGATTAATTCATCTTAAATGTTGATAACTATATGATGGTAATAAAATGTTTATAACTATACCATGGTTATAAAACTACAACTAAAGTCACGATTTATTGAACTCCCTCCCTCTAGTGGGTTAAATTGTACTATGAGAGAAGAAAAAAATATTTGAATTTACTATAATTAATACTTCTTTCAATTTTTGTCAAAGAAAAACGAAAATATAGTTATGTCAATTATACAAATATCATATATGGAAAAATAATAATAAACAAGTAAATTCATAAACCTAATTGTTACAAACAGATTAATTCATCTTAAAATGTTGATAACTATATGATGTTTATAAAATGTCCATAACTATACCATGGCTATAAAACTACAACTAAAGTCATGATTTATATAAAATTCTATGTAGGTGCAAGGGGTGGTCTTAGTACAAAAACAGCCACAAATATTGAATGAACTCCTCTTTTTTTTTAACCCCATTTTCGTAAGTGAAATTCTAAAACTTAATAATAACTCTAAATAGTTTTGAATTTTTTTCAATTTTAATCAGATTAGTTTGGTTATAATTTGTCATAAAACCACAGCTAACCCATGAATTCAATTAAAAACTAAAACACTTGCCTGGAACTATGGAGTAAAATACATTGAAAAGACTATCGAGTCACAATCTAGTGGTATCTCCTTTAAGTTACCACATAGCAAAAAACGAGTGTTATCTGATAATAAAAAATCAAAAATACTAATAATATTAGCATAGGCTATTGTGCAATTTTTCTCGATAAAAATGAATGCTATTTGATGATATAAATTGTGTAACATGTTTGATTCTAATAAATTATGCCCAAGTCCCTTTGCTATTGCACATAATTGATACTAATAAAAGCATAATAATAAACTTGAATGAGTAGAATATTACCCATTTGCGATATTGTTTATATCCCACCCGCTTAAGTTTGCTGCCTCCGTCAATGCTGCCCTCCACCTTTGCACCTTTTCTTTGTCCTCCCTAAAAGTTTCTTCATGTTTGACAAATGCTTCTCCAAAACTTCCCTTTTGTTTCCTTACTTGCGAGGGATCGACATCGTAGAAGACTGGCAAAACTGTCAGTCCAATTGTATTCTTGCATAGAATGATCTCAACGAGTTCATCCAAACACGATGAGGAAGTTGCATAATTTTCCGAAAATACGATGATTGCAAATTTCGATTCCTTGATTGCCTTGAGGAGTTGTGAAGAAATCGATTTTTCTTTCTGTTGCAGAGCCACATAGAGATGATGTACAAAGTTCTTGCGAGTGTCTTCGCCTCTGAAACTTAAGAAGACATCATAATTCCATCGAGGCGGAGAAGAAGAAGAAGCCTCCATTAACACTTGATAGTTTGTGAATGCAGAATTACCCTTCAAAGTCTCTCTCCCCCCACTTTCCAAAGCAGATGTTGGCTAAGCGTCATATCCAAGCAATTTCCTAATTGAGCAAAGCAAAAACAATGTTAGCTGAAAAAATAAAGTTAGGATTTGCTGAATCTCTCAATTGCGTCGCAGAAGAGAGAGAAAGAGAGAGAGAGAGAGAAAGAGGGCGCATTGGTGAAGATTTGGCTTATTTTATTCTTTTCCCTCTGGCAAATCAACATTAAAAATTATTATTTCATTCGTATCTCTTTTATTTAAAAAAGATACTATTGTAACTCGATTGTTATTAAATTTTTTTTATTATATTTAAATAAAAATAATATTACATCTTCTTTTTTTTTTTTTTTATCTAAACATAAATAAAATTTATTATTATTCGTTTCGTTTTTTTTTTTTTTTTTCTCTTTTCTCTCATAATTAATATTATTTTTTTTTCTTTTTTTTTCTAATAAATTTTAATAACTTTAGGCTTTATTTATTGAATGATGTAAGTTGGGCCAATTTATATCATATGGGCTGCACCTCTTTAAACCCCATAATATCCTTTCTTTCTTATTTTTCTTCATAAAATCTCAAAATAATTTTAACAATCAATATTTTATGAAATATATATATTTTTAAAATCCATAATTTATCTTTATTTACTCAATTTTAAAAATATAGAGAGATTTTTTAAATACAAAGACGTATTTACACATTTTGTTGAGATTTTTTACACTTTATTCTACTAATAATAATAATAATAATAATAATAATAATAATTTGAATTATTGCTGAATTCAGATATGGGAAAAATTGACTGAAGACTAATAGGCCTCTGTGAACCCACCCACTTGGCACTCGTACCAAAGATTAACACCTCTAACAACCATTAATAAAGCACCAATCCGTCTAGCATACTACAACAACCCTCTTTTTTTTCTTTTTCTTTTTTCTTGCCAGGTTTTAAAAAAAAAAAAAAAAAAAAAAAAAAAATACTCTAAATACTTGCACCAAAATAGTTAGACGGAATCATCAATTTTTGTACTTACTCTAATAAAAGAGTCCAACAAGAACTCTTATTACCTTTAAAAATAACAAAAGTATATTTTTTAGTTTTTTATTCAAATCACTGATTCTCACGTCAAGGTTATCTGGTAGGTAAAATAGAGTCAACAATTATATAATTTCCCTATTTTTAGTGGTTTCACACTCTAAAAAAAAATAAAAATAAAAAAAAATAAATAAATAAAAAATAAAAACACCAAAAATCTTCAATAGGTATATAGAAGAAGTAGCCGGAGGAGGAGGGTAGGCAAGAACAGAGGTAGAGAACAATACTCCACATTAAATTCAACAAAATAGAAAGGAGTTTAGGACATTAACTAGTGAAAAGTGAAATCCTGCATTAAATCTGGATATTTTTCAGATAATAGATTTGTAAGAGTTTTGATAGTTCAAAATGTTGGTATTAAGGGCGAATTGAGGAATTACAAATAGATTAGGTGGGCTGATACTAGACTAGGCTAAAATTGCCTATAGAAAAAAAAAAAAAATTAGTAATTAAGCTTGAGGAGAGTGATGAAAGTATATTATTGGGTTTACAGTCTACTCACTCTTACATTAATACATGGATACCCAATTTCTTGACTTTGCCTTATTCTCAGTGCCATGTGAACAATCATAGTAATTATATCCAAGCAATTTCGTTCCTATGCACTTTACTTTAGAGAGAATGGACATGTTAATTAAGAAGTTGATGGTAAATTTTCATGAACTTTATTGATCAAAGCAAATACTTTTTAGCTGAAAAAAAAAAAAAAAAAAAAAAAAAAAAAAGACTGTGAAAAAGGTGTAGGTGGGTCACAAATTAGGCTGGTGAAGAAAGATTTCCAAAGATTTAATGCCCCTATTGAGAATCAAAATTTACATCTACCAAAAGCATTGTCACATGGGAATCATCTTTAGTGAGGTTCTTCACAAAAGGAGTAAAGTTGAAAGGAATGAAAATGCGTCAAGTCGGTCGTTGGACATAATGATGGTGTCTACTTGAAAGGAAAGAAAATGTGTGGACCAGTATTGCGGTGCATGTGGGTCATATCGGTGTAGGTATTAGGTGCACTTGTGAAGCCCAAACCGCCTAACCGACAACCCATTTGGGTTTTAACCGTCTAACCGCCACCTGTTCGGATTTAATCTAACCTTCTGACAGGCCGATCCAAACCGATTTGAGTTCTGGAAGATTCTGGACTAGTCCAAAGTCCAATGAACCCACACAAGCTGATGCCCAACAAGCCCAAGCCCAAAGAAAAGTTCTTTTTTTTTTAAAAAAAATATATATATTTCTTTGAGAAACCCAAGCCAATGCCAGAGTGGCCGGGATAAGCAAAATAAAGATAAGGAATAGAGCTACAGGAAGGAAGAGGAATACATATGTAAATATAAATATTCACGCTTTTAATGTGGATCTTTAATATTGTAAGTTTTAATTGAATGTAAAATTATGGAAGTGTGTTTTAGTCAAATAAAATTGTGGAATTGAATTTTACTTTATCCGTTGAGGTTTCTACAAAAAAACATAAAAATTAAAATTACAGTGATAAATCGGTGGGAGATAAGAAAGGTTTGATAAGTGATAAATATCATAATAAAAAGTTACCTAATTATATATAGGGTAAAGTACAGCAACCCCCAGTTTGCCAAAAAGACATATAAGTGAAACTTATTAATTTTTTGAACAAAGACACCCTTTAAAAGACATCCCTTAAAATTTCAAAAATGGACAAAAACACCCCTAACGTGAAAAATTAACCAAATTACCCTTTGATAATAAATTAGACCAATAGAATAATTTATGCATAAAAAAAAATAAAAAGCAATCTCTTCCCCTCCACTGTTCCACTGCCACCAGCCCACCAAACAAAGCCACACGTATATATAGGGGTTCAAATTACACACACACACACACACACATATATATATATATATATATATATATTACCCAAAATTTTTGTATAGCAAAACCCAACACTACAAAATCCAAACAATATGAAATTGGGTCTTTTGATTAGGTGCTCAATTGGATACCTGCAATTTCAGACAACCACCTACCCAGCTCTGTCACCCAACCGTGAATATCATCACAAAATCCAAATTCAGCAACATGGGCTAAAAGAATGTATGTAGGTATATATACAGATGAATCAACCAATGCATGCGCCAATTTGGGATAAAATCAAACACTGTGAATTGACAGTGGAAAGGATAAAAGTTAAGTAAAAAAAAATGGAGGAAAGGTGTTTGAATTTGACAAGAACAACCACATGTATGTATGGTATAATACATCAATGAATTGAAGATCGTTTGTTCTTGTCGAATTCAAACTCTTAGTGTTTGAATTTGACAAGAGCAACCACATGTATGGTATAGGCTGCTGTCAATCGAGATGAACTAGACGAGAAACTACACTGCATATTGCTCTTGTCAAATTCAACATGGGCATGAATGTATGAATTTTTTCAACTATGGTTATCATAAAATCAACGAGTAAGGACGGTCAAAACAGAATGGTAGACACGAACTCTGAGACTGAAATTGCCGGCGAGGACCAAGCTCCGATGACGATACGGCGACGGACTGAACAGTGAAGCGACTTCTAGAAGGTTCAAATGAGCACAGCGAGCGTCACCTGAAGGCCGAGGAGGCTGAAGTGGCCATCGCCTCTGCCGTCCGACGAGCGGCGACGACGATGGCGAGCCGCCTCTCCTCCACCTTCGGCATCATTGTCATCCTCCGCCTCTACATCAACGACTGGCCGACTCTAGATCCGCGGCCCGCCTTCGATTCCATCTACCCATAGAGCCCCAGATCCGTTTTCGTCGTCAAACTCGCCGTAAAAAATGACAAACTTGCCGCCGCCCTCCACCGAGATCGTCTGCGCTCTCGAACACCTCCATACCATGGGCATCGTCTACCGTGACCTCAAACCCAAGAACGACAGCTCGCTATTGCCCATCGCCGCCTTGTGTGTGTGTGGATATATATATATATATATATATGTATGTATGCATGTATCTGTGTATATATATATATACGTGCATATATAAAAAAGAAAAAAATGGAAGATGAAGGAGGAGAGAGGAAAGAAGGGTGCTGAGGGTAATTTGGTTATTTATGTATTTTGATATTTTATAATTAAATTTACTAAAATAGTGAAGGGTAAAATGGGCTTTTCACACGTTTTAAGGCTCTGTTTGGATAGCAAATTTCGAAAGGGGGCGTGACTGTCCAAAAATAGGCAAATTTTCACTTGTGTATACTTTTAACAAACATGAGGGGGTGTCTCTGTACTTTACCCTTATATATATATATATATATATATATATAGACACAGGCACGTATACACATGTGAATCAAGACACGAAAGAGAATGAAGGCTTAAAATGGTATTTTATGTCTTAAAAAAGACATGTTTTTATTGACGTATTAAATGAGGAGAAAAATAATTAACGAACTTAAAAATAGTCAATAGGAACAAGCCAATGTAGAAAGGCAGTGACTTGAGTGATTGTCCTTAGCATTGCTCTTTTCAACAAATATGATACCATGTGAAATGAGTTGTGATACTGAGTTTAGAAGTCTATCATCTCAAAAAAGTTGGTTCTATCGGACTCTTGGATTTTGCCATTTGGTATACATTAAATAAAGGATAATGATTTAGAGTCCGAAAGTCGATCGATCGGACAATTCTAATTAATTTATGTTGGGTGAAGTTTGACATGGTTACAATGATATTAGCCCTTATTCAAATAAAATTAGTCATTAACAAGTGAAGCGTATTGGGGAAGTGGTACTGTAGAGGTAACTAACAGATAACTTTTTGAAAAATAAGATAGCTCCTTTTGCCATCATTCTTAATGTAACCCTAATAAATGTATTTGTCAACAAGGATGTAGATGAATAATGGATTTGTAGACAAACGCATCTCGTTCACACTTTCCAACTGTTAGCCACATACACCGCAATATATCACATCAGCTACACCAATACAGGTCCACACATTTTCTTTCTGATCAACCCGTCAACCGGACTACTTTTGTGAACCCACAAAAGATGATTCCCATGTGAAATTTAGACGATGCTTTTGGAAGACGTAAATTTTGATTCTCAATAGGGGTATTGCCTTGATCAATAAAGTTCATGAAAATTTACCATTAACTTCTTACCATGTACATTCTCTCTAAAGTATAGTGCGGTATTTAGGTACGAAATTGCTTGGATACCATTCTTAGCCAACAATTATAGAATATAGAGGGAGAGATATTTGTATCATAGGGGTGGT